CCCCCCCCCTCCCTTCTAATTATCCACCTAATCTAAGAGAAGTCTAAATACTCGATACAGGTTACATCGCAGCAGTTGGTTAGATAATTGTTATACGACCAATCATATTAAAATGCCCCTTTATAGCACCTTGGAGGTTGGAACTTACGAGCCTCTATACAGATAATAGGAAGGCATCTTTACTTCTATCAGAGTATTGTAACACTGGATATTGACATAGCTGCGACAATAAATTACGATAATCCTTTTCTTTTAGCGAGAAAATTTTCAAATTATCTTGTAATCTTGGTTAATAAAATATTTGCATCTGTTTTACATAACACGTGACGCAAATTTAATATACAAAATTTTATGAACTTTGCGATTACAGAAGAATGAATATAGTTTAAAAGAAATTTCAAACATTTCTGCGTATATGCAACAAAGTATGACAATAGATATTACAAACATTAAATAGACATAGTTTTAGAAAACAACATGTATAATTAATTACTACAATATCCCCGCAAGATCTATACAAACATTTGGAAATTTCATAAAGGATTATTATACATATTTCCAACCAGTGAAATACACGATCATAAAATGAAATAGAAAATTTAAAGTTCTTGTTTCTGAACGATAAATTGATATCTAAATAAACATAATTTTTTAAAATCGATTCTCCGGGATAGCGCGAACGCAGTCCCGTCTACCAAAAATTATACGTCCGAGATACCCACATTAGGGGTATTCGCAGAGGTCAGCTCAACCGTAGTGCTATGGAAGAGCCTCACCCTGGAGGAACCGCCTTTTTGATCACGGTAATCTCTACGCCAGGTAAGTATGCTTTTAGCCGCTTCTTCGACTTACTTAAGCCCACAGAAAGCAATCATAACTGTGAGAAATTATGTTCATAACTAGCACTACATAACGGTGATTTTTGGAACTAATGGATTCATTTAGTCCTAATAATCCATCACTGTACTTTTGACTTCAAAATATTATTATCAGAGGACAAACTTAATATCGATTGAAATCTATACACCAAATAAAATCTGAACGCTGCAGACATATAATTTGGTAGCCGATAGCTAACAATCTAGTTGTCGATACGCAGTTAAATTTTCATAAAAAAAATATATATATATATAGAATTGTGGGAGAGAATTAATAATGCAATCCTTGAATGAATGAAGCATCATTTAACTTCAAAGTTCCGTGCAAATCCACGCTTACATTACTTTAAAAATATTATTTTATTTGCTAATCATTCAAATCGCCTAACTTTTGATTCATGTTATTCAATATTCGGATTTTACTACAAATTTAGGATTTTGTCCTAATCCTAATTTAGCATTTACTCTAATATTTAAATCTAATTTTTTTTTTTTAATCTAATTTCTATCTAAATTTTTTTTTTTTTTTATTAAACTCAACATTTCAAGCTTTCCAAACAGTCGAAAACATTTAAATTTTGCTTCAACTAATTTCTTTCGACTACATGCCACAAATAGTCAAAATTTCTTAGAAGTTGTGGTCTATTGTATATAATTTGGCTGACTATTATTGCTAGCATAAATACGTGAGTTAACATTCATTTGAATACAGAATTATTATTAGGCGTATGCACGTGCTTAGATATTATGCACGAAAACGAGACACAAAGGTAATGTTTAATCACTTTGTACATATAATAGCATAGCAATTATAGAACATCATTATGCCGATAAGTATCTTGAATGAGATAATGATTACGCAACATGGAATATAAAAAGCAACAAATACATAACTGGAGCATATAATTTCAGAAATAGATCGTACTATTTATACTTCATACACTCGCGAATATAAACCAAGTAAGTTTAAATTGTTTAAAAAAGTAATGTGCAATTTACGAAATAATAAATAAAATTTTTTGCACCAAGAATTTCTTCGAGTCCATTGTACATCTTTAAATTTGGAAAACACCTTCTTTCAATTTCATACTTCTTTTAGTAGACTATGCTTCAACAATACTATGATATAACTAAGTAAGTATTTATATGCATATGTAAAAATAATCCTAAGAGAATCGTAAAATAAAGAATAATATGAATAGAGTAAAAAGGAGATTCTTGAGAATACAAATCAGGTATATGTTTATAAAGAAAAATAGTTAAAATAATATTCATTAACAAATACAAAATTTCAACGTTGTTTCATTGATATATCATTTCGATAATATGTCATATTACATATATATTAAACTTTATATACATCTCCATTCAAAACTTTTAGAACAAATATTACTTTTGTTTTAAAATTGGGAAAATTAGATGCCATTTTATACAAAAAAGAATCCATTAGTTTACACATTAACAGTTGTGTTATAAAATACACATGCAACTTAAAAATTTTATTACAATTTTAAATGCTGTGTTTATTTGAAAGTTCATATTTATGAAACAATATATAGATATCCTCCAAAATAAAGATATCCTTCAAAATAAAGTTTAAAATAAGAATCTCACTCTGGAATAATTATTCTCTTTCAAAACAGTAATCTCTATTTACGCTATTTTTTATTCGTTTTAAAAGCAAGATCACTGATGGTCATCAGCAACATTAAATAAATTCCAAATTAACTCGAAAAATAAAAAATACATTTTACCACTATCAACTCAGATTTGTTATTGACTGGAGGAGTACAGTTGAAAATGAACAAGTTTAGAATACACCTAATCTACAATCTAACATACAATCACTTCTGAAACTATGTGTTAAATTTAACCATCAATAGAATTAATAATTCTATATATAATAATGAATTAATAAGTCTATATATAATAATGAAAACTCATACTAATTTACAAAGAAAAGAATAATTCTATTCAATTATTGAAAAAGATAAACGTGTATAAAATATAGTAAAATGTATAAAATATTCTAAATGTTAAAATTCTAATAATATTAAAATGTATAAAATTCTATCATTAAATAATTTAAATAACAAAACGTATATATTCAATATAAATAACACGAGTATACATAATTCATGTGCCTTTCATATCCAAAATTATCTAACCATCTTCAATTTTTTATTCCATCTTCAACCATCTTCAACCCCAAAGTTCCAAATTAAATTTCGTTATAAGTCTAAAATTTTTTTGTCATATTGTAACATGTAATGTGAAGTGTTTATACAATGTAATTACAAGAACAAAATAAAAAACATCCTGTGTTAAAAGACGAATGAACACAAAGCGTGTTTCTTATGCCGCTTTGTAGAATAAACGCTAAAATGAAAGAACGCTTATATTTTTCAATAAATTATCCGGGATAGCGCGAACGCAGTCCCGACTACCAAAAATTGTACGTCCGAGATACCCACATTAGGGGTATTCGCAGAGGTCAGCTCAACCGTAGTGCAATGGAAGAGCCTCACCCTGGAGGAACCGCCTTCATGATCACGGTAACCTCTACGCCAGGTAAGTATGATTTCATCCACTTCTTCGAGTTACTTAAGCCCATATGGTTCGACCATAGTTGCGAGAAACCTCACACATAACTAGCACTACATAACGGCGGTTTTCGGAACTAACAGACTGATTCAACTTGATACAATAATTTTCATTCAATACTGTAATCTCAAAATGTAGTTGTGACCTCTTTTGGATTTTGTACTTCAAGATTTCTGTAATGTAAATTTCTGTATAATAAATTTATAAATCTCTATATGCATGCAATATATCTATTATATAACAAATTTACCCTAATTTTTAATTTTATGACTTATGTGCAAGGAACTTTAAGCAAATTTTTGAAATCCTCCTTCGTGACTGTAACATTAAAAGACAAAATTTAATATTATCAATTGATTGAAAAAAATTATATATGTAGTTAAAAATTCGAAGTACATACGTATTCATGAATTAAAAAAAAAAAAAAAATAATCGTACGTATGTGTAGCATGCTATCATACATTGCTAATACTAATATTTTGTCTGTTTTTAAGCAATATTTAATTTATTGTTAGTATTATTTGATTTATATTTTACTGTTAAATAAATTTCGTAAAAAATTTATCTAAAAGCTATCTATAGATAAATTGCAAATATTTTTTATGCATATGGTAGAAATTTAATTGATCGTTAAGTTTTTACTAACATGATATAGCAATATGGTACCAAATGTTATACATGAGAGAAAATTAAGCACTAATCTTCTAACTTCTAAACTATTTTCTATTTAGTTTGCTTCATTTTTATAACCTCTTTCCCAATTAATATCGATATATACGTACAATGTGAATAGTTCTAAGAAATATTCACACGCATATTCAATTAATATTATATGTAATACTCCATACAACTAAACACATATTTCATTTTTTTGAAAGATTCAATTACAAAAGATTTGAATAAGGCCAACTGATTAATTTTTGGAAATTAATTATCCGGGATAGCGCGAACGCAGTCCCGACTATCAAAAATTGTACGTCCGAGATACCCACATTAGGGGTATTCGCAAAGGTCAGCTCAACCGTAGTGCAATGGTAAAGCCTCACTCTGGAGAAACCGCCTATTTGATCACGGTAACCTCTACGTCAGGTAAGTATGCTTTTCAGCTATGATCCATGGTATGTATTATAATTATATTCTGTTTTCGAAAGCGAGAACAGATGGTCGTCCAAAACGTATCGTAACGACTGGTTTGAGAACTATACTCTCCTTCGAGACGACCTCTATGTATTTTTACCCCCAACTATAACGTAGTTTTTTTTTTTTTTTTTTTTGAGAAATAACGTGTATTAAATTTTTTAGTTATCTAAATATACCTTTAAAAATATCTTTTGAATAATAGCACGAACTTAATAAATATTTCTCTTGTTCTCATAATATAAATATTCCGAAAAATATGTTGAATAAAAAAAATTATGCATATAATACAGACTGTATTTTTCTGTAAATTGATATAATAGACAGACTGTAAATTATTATAATAGTAAAATTTGTTATAATAGATTAAAACGAAACATCCTGCGAGATATGCTTTTCAATTTGTGTTTCTTTTGGAAAAAATGTTAGATGTATGTATGTAAATGAGACCGAGTAACATGAAGAAACTAACAAATCATGAAAGAATAATGTATTATTTGTTTATTAATGTAGAATAATTTTTAATTTATATTGTACAAAATTCAATTTACATAGTTAACGCTAATATATATTTATGTGTACATGATATACATGTATTAACTATCTGGTGTAACATGTAATTTCTATGTTTAAAAATTATATTTATTAGAAAAGAATGAAATATTTTGGTCATTGTCACAGTTAAAAATATTATTTCATTTAACATTAGGCATATCAATTTAAATTATCAGAACTGATTAATTATTTGACTCGTAATGTTTTATGACGTCAGTTACTTGATATAACTTGTCTGCTACTTATTGCACAATAATCATTGAATATTGATGTCCCAGTTACATTGATTAACTTAACAGATTAAAATTATGAAATTTCCAATAAGCATTCGTAATCATTCATAATCAGTATATGTTTTGTTACACATTTATTTTCAATTTGCAAAAATATTCACATTCTCGTGAAATATATCTCGTCATTCGCATAAAATATACATATCGCAAGTATAAAATTTAAGTATAAAATTATTTACATATCAATGCCAACTAAATTGCGAAGAATTTACTAACCTCGTAGTTCACTCTCCTCCAGCCAACGTTACGATGTTATAACATAATTTCATGAAACTCGCAAAGATCACGAACATCCTTCAACATTCGCCGTCCCGCAGTTTGTAGTAATCTGTGGGCCAACAAGACACTATAATCAGATCTGTCTCAGTGATTCATTATTATTACTTACTATTTCTATACGCAATCGCGACATATTTCTTTCTATCATTCTCTGTGACAGTAGAAAGTCGCAATATCAGACAGCGATTGTAACACAACATATGACAAATGCTCGGGAAGGTACGATCATTGAAATCGCGATCTCGAGCACAAATAGTATGATTGTCATCGCCGTCGCGGTCTTCTTTGCATAAAAATTTCGATGTCGATGTCGATGTCGATGTCGATGTATTTTCATTTCCCTCCTTTGCCTCGACAGTCTTTACCTTGTCGTTGCAATGATCGCAATTACAAGTAGGTTCGTTTTCGGTGGGTGTATGCGTGTGAGTCGTGACAACTACAAGTACTAAATATATCATATTTTCACATAAATTGTATTACTATATTTTCTGAAGCTTTGAAGCATGAACTTCGTTTATTTGTTAATTATAATATAATAAAATATTAATAGTTACGTATTAACTATTTACATATACTATCCGATAAATATGGCTCGCATAATTTTATATTTTGATGTTACTTAATAATTATTGGAATGAACATTGTTATTAATTAACATTGTTATTAATTAATCTTTATTAATTAGCTTAAATTAGCTTAGTTAAAATATTAATCTAGTGCTTTTTGTATCTTACATTTACATCTTTCACATTTTATATCTTTTATAATATCACTTTTCTTGTTGTGAATGATAATTTAAAAATAAACGAGAAAAATGTTAGACATTAATTAAAATATTAATAGCGTGTTTATTATATTAGTAACAGTTTTAGCTTCTATGGCAAAAGTCATGAAATGCGTGTATTTGATACATAAACCTACATAATAATATAATTGTTCTATACGACGACAGCATGGCACGAGATCGAGTATAAACTAGAACTACGTATGCAAAAACCAAAGTCACAAAATCGATCAATGAACAAGCTCGCAGACGTTGCCAGTTCAAACTGAAACTATCCAATGATTGTACCGTTGTATTTGGCGTGTTGCAGTGCCGTGTCATTTTATTTCCGTCACTTTTATTGAGACGGACATTATTTCACCAACAGCGAACGTTAAAATAACATTGACTACGAAAAAAAAAAATAGAATAAATTCAGTGCTGAAAAAAAAAATTTCGACATATATAACACAATGCATACGGAAATACAAAACAAAACAAAATTTATTATAATATATGTATTTTGAGCAGGGATGCTCAAAAATATTTGCAGTAGATAAGAGAAT